GGAATGAAATGATACTTTTATATCCATTGCCAAAAATTATGTGTACTGCAGCCATCTGATGAACAAAAAATAATAAATGAACAGTCCATGTCTGTGTCTTTTATTTCACGATATAATTTGCAAACGTGATGCTTTTGGATCTTTCTGAATTAGTGAGAGAATAAATAGGCTCCTACATCTGGCGAAATGTGGTTTACGGCTTTGTTCTGATTTTGGTATCTAGTGCCAGGCATCCATCACCTGGGATGGGGTGTTACTTTGGTAAAGTAGAACTCATTACTTATTCTCAAAAGAATGCTTTATTTCAGAACAATGCTATTGTTAATGAAACTTTGATTTTAGTGACTAAATGCCAAGAATGTTTTTAAACACTCTGTTATTCTTTTCATCAATTTAGATCAGCCAGACATAACGTATGTGAGACGTTATCTAAATTTTTCAGCAATAAAACCAAGATGATGAAAACTTTGCTTCCCCTTAGGTATCATCCAGTATTGGTAATCAAGTTGTTCTATTTTTTCTTTTTTATTGTTTAAGTCTGGAGCACATTACTCTTGTGCTACTTGCCAAAGTTCTATGGCATCATTGTTTGAGACCCACCATATGTGTCTTTGATCCTTGCCCAGTAGGTACCTTGGCTACCTGCCAGTTTGGCACTTATTACTATAAGAATTTTGATTTGTTCACTTGCTTCTTATTCTATCCATGCTGTCAACATACAGACTCTTAAAAAGACATCTTTGGGACCAAAGAGACTCATAAGATTTTGACCTGTTTTCACTGGACCCATTTCAACTAAGTACTTGCCACTTGAAAGAATTGATACAGTCAGTCTATCTAGTTTTGAGTTGACTGGTATCTGGAACACAAAACAGATTTATTATATCTTTTTGGTACCTCAAGCTAAGATGTTAACAAAAAATAAACCTTAGTACCATCAAATAAAACTCATTAGAAATTCCAAACAAGCAACCCCCCCATTTTTTAGAGATGTTTTAATAACCCATAAAGGATTTCCATAGGTGAAAAAATAGAACCTTCAGCAAAGAAAAGCTTATACATGTAAATTACCAACCACACAAGGAAATACTATATATATGAAGCAAAACTTTCTTAAAAACATAAAGAAAAATTTGCAGAAACAGAACTAGAGTGAAGGATTTCCACTGCCATGCTATTTTAGAAGATCAGTTAGAAAATTATACAATGAGTATATTTTATAATTATGAATATTCCAAATATCCTAACTTGACCATCACATATTATACACAAATACTGATAGTCAACTCTGTACCCCACAAATATCATCATTTGTTTCAATAAAAAAAATAAATATAACAAATCAGAAAAACAACAAAAATTATTATACAAACATTTATATGATTATATGATTATATTCTAGCTACCTATTTCCATCTCAAAAATAATTAAATATTATGCCATACAGGTTTATTATAAAAATGATTTATATATATATGCACACATATATTGTTTAAACATTAGCATCATAGTTTCCAAGACTTTAAATCAATGTGAAAGGGGCATTAAGAAAATTTAAGTCACATGAAAAGGGAAAAATAAAAAGCATATACAGGATAATATTAGTTATTTTCTCTCTGAAGAAAACATTTTGAAATATTTCTAGAATTAGAATGATGGGTAATTTCATTGAAATCTTTATTAGTTTTCTGCATTTCCCAAAATTTTTATAATAAGGAACAGAATCAGAATGATAGAATAGCATAAGGGAGCCCTAAAACTTGAGGAATTGCACATAATTTAATATTGCTGGAGTTAAGTATATGTTTAGAAGATGGGCAAGAGTTGAGACTGGAAAGTAACTAAGAGTCTCATCATGAAAAATTAAATGTGCCACTTTAAGAAATGCAACTTCTGGGCCGGCCCGGTGGCGCAATGGATAGTGCGCCGCTTGGGAAGCGCGGCGGCGCTCCCGTCCGAGGGTTCGGATCCCACATACAGACTGGCTCCCGCTCACTGGCTGAGCGAGGCATGGGAGCAACACCGAGGCTTGCAATCCCGTTGCCGGTCCCCGGTCCGGTACGGGGGCAACACTGAGGGTTGCGATCCGTTGCCGGACATGGAAAAAAGACAAAAAAAAAAAAAAAAAGAAATGTAACTTCTTCTCCCCAAAGTTATGAGAAACCTCTAACAATTTTAAGCTCAGAAGTTTTGAGCAGATATGTATTTTCAAAATTTGGTCAGGCTGTACAGTGTAAATTGGTGAATGCAAAAGAAAACAGAAAACCAAGCTACTATAGTAATAATAGCTGATGTTTACTGGGTGCCTAATATATGCCGATCATGTGTTGAGCGCTTTATATATTCTAGTTCATTTAATTTTGCAATAGGTAGAAACTGTTATCACTCTATAGATAGGGGAACAGAGGCTAAAGAAGTTGTCCAAGGATGCTCAGTACCTGGGGGAGCCCAGCTTCCATAACAGGTGATATAAAAACAGCTCTTACGTTCTTCCCCACTGCATTATGGTGTTGTCTTCCAAAGAGAAGGAAACAGGGGTGGAGAAAAGTCCATAGAAGAAGAAAGAGACACAAGGGCTGGGTCCAAGATGTTTAATAACTGTTGACAGACTGGATTTGGGGTGAGGGTTAGGGAGAGAAGGGAGTCAAGAGAAGGAGAAACGGGTTTTTGCACATAACTTAATATCTTCAATAAAGACACCAGAGAAAACAGGAAATTAAACTCATTTTAATTTGCAACGAATGTTTATATCTTCTTATATTTGAATTATTGAAATGCAGTGAAATAGAAATGGCTTAGTTATAAGATGTAATGCAAGTAGAATAGACTGTAGATTCAGGATAAGGTATTATCCAGCTTTGTGGTTTTTAACAAGTGATTTCTTTGCTGTTCTGATGGAGCCCAACTTTCTTAACCTGCCATATGGGGAGAAAGAACTACACTGCTTACCACAGAGTTTTGCTTCATCCTCATTTTGCTTAACGCTTTTTAGATGTGCGAGTTATAGAGGTACATATTAAGAATATTCATTTTAATCATAAAAACAGAAAAAAAAGCACACTATAAGAGCGTAAGCTGTTCAAATGTATAAATTTTAAGCATTCATGATTTAATATCAAACTACTTACCAGTAAAACACACCTATTATCACTCCCTTTTATGCATTAGATTAAACATTTTTAAGATATTTGGTTTTTATTATTGCCAATGATTTTGGTATTTATAGGAATTTTAATTTAAATTTTTGATATAGCATTTTTCATGTGAAATGCATTAAAATAAACCGTCAACAAAATTTTCCTATTTGTAAGGTTTTTTTCTGTAAAAATTATATTATTATTATCAACTAATTGGGATATAAAATTTTCTTAAGACCCTTCCAATTCAGAAAACTATTAAGCAGTAAAGTTTATTTCTAGTTGTTATTTTTCTTAGTAGCAGAGAATCTTGTTAGAGGTTATATTCTCCAAAACTTTATATTTCATTTCTATGTTAATTGTCAAAATTTTCTGAAGTTTTGAATGACTGATTCCATTATGAAGATTATGTTGCTAAATTATTGTTCTTCAAATTGTGTCTTTTTAAAATTCTTTCAAATACCATGTTCCATGTTACAGAATTAAAACAGAGACAGAAAAATGGTAGTAGGCATTGATGGGACTTACATGCACTATTTCAACTTGTAGTGAAAAAAAATTAACAGCTGAACTCTGCTGAAATCAACATCTAATAAAGATTTAGCTCTATGAATATATACCTACAAAATAGTCAGGTAAATAACAACTTGAGTTTTGATGCTTCAGAGAGTTTTATTGCATGACTTTCCTTTAGCAGCTCAGAGAATGTTCTCCAATTTAATCATCTTTGGTCAAAACTGTGAGAAGTCAGAACTCTCCACATCCTCTTTGTCTCTTCCACTGCTATTTCACCGAAGAATCCACATGATTACCTCTCCCGCTCTTTGTCTTTTTCTTTCCTTGACCTTATTTCTATCACCAATGGAAGTCTCACCACCCACACAAGTGGTAACGACGGCTTGTTTATTCTGGGAGGTAAATTCGTTCTAAATGTGTTTATAGTGTCCTCTGCAAGGTAACATTTGCCTCATTTCATCTGGCGGTTCAATTGTGCGTGCATCAGTCGGCTCCTGATTTGTTTGCTGCAGCAGCCAGTAGGCCTGACTGGTCTCCCCGGACAGTCTCTGGGAAACTTTCGGACCCCTCCACAAGACCATTCTTGGTAATCGTGTCTTTTCAGTTGCAGGCTACTGAACCCACTCCGAAGAGTTTTACAGTGTGACAATGTAAGTGTGCTTGTGGGAGGTGGAGGGCTGGGGAAGCAGGAAGGGGGATTACTCCAGGACTCTCTTACCAACTCCCTCCTCCCCGGCAAAGATTTTTCCAATTCTCATAACCTAAGGTCTTGGTTAGAATTTTTTGTTTGAATGAATTTAGCCTTCAGGGCTCCAATAATTTTGTGCCATGAGTCTTTTAAACTGAATTGCATTTCAGTTCTTAACCTGTAGCACCAATTTACTGACAACTTACCAACGTACCTGTGACATCTCCCCTAATTTAGTACCTTCTATTTTTTCTAGACGAATGTGTATGTGTATTAACCCTGCAAACCGCCTCAAAAATTAAAAATAGAGCTTACTGTCATGAAGCATAAACTCAAGTGAGCTCAACGGTGGACACTTCTACCCCAAACTAGAAAGGCTGTAGCTGAGACTGAACAAACTCGCGGACACAAAAACGCATGCCCGCTTTAGACCCCTTTCCTTCTAGAAAAGACCTGAGCCAGATGAGAAGTCGGTGGGTGGGCATATGCATGCAGGTACGACCAACCCTGAGCGCTCCGCGCAGTGGGAAAATGAGCCGTCCCTGAACATCCTCTGCCTCGGTTCGTCCCTTTGCTCTCCGGGCTCCTGACAGTCCCGGCGCCCGCGGCAGGTGCCTCTTGCACCCGGTGGCCCGCCCGCGCCGCCTCCCCGCCCTCCCCGCGCCGCCGCAGTGCGCAGAGCAGGGCTGGTCCTCGCCAGCCACGCACGGGAGGGGCGCGCTCCGGGGCCGGCACCCTTCCCAGCGCGGTGCCCGTCCCGCATCCTCCTCCTGGTCCCCTCCCGTCGCCGACTGCAGCCCCGGGCCCCGCCATGGGGAATGTGCCATCCGCGGTGAAGCACTGCCTCAGCTACCAGCAGCTTCTCCGGGAGCATCTCTGGATCGGGGATTCAGTGGCAGGGACGCTCGACCCCGCGCAGGTACCACCTCGCGGCCCAGGGTGTCCCCACCGTCTTGCACACTGCCAGTGGGCCTCTCTCCTGTCAACCTCTTGGTACTCCTCCCCACTTTGTGTCAGCTCTGCACCCCAGGGCCCTTCCTGCAGCAGTTCTGTCGTGTTAGGCCGCACCCCTTAAAAGGTTTCCCGTCATCTCTGTGCTGTGAACGTGTAGTCCCGCCCCTACAGATCAGCAAAATCCCTACCTGTGACCATTTGCAGGTCACCCAAAGGAAAATGATTCCTTCTCCGTGTTTTCCTTGGAAGGAGTGACTTATATAATATAATTTGTATCCATAGGTATTCTCCAAGGACAGTGCCCTGTTCTCTGTTCCCTCCCTGTACCATGTCATGTAACAAAGACAAGTTTGTCACAATGTGAGGCAGAAAAAGGAATGAGGCCACAGGTTAGGAAGACATAGTAGGATGAAATTATTCAGCAGATCATTAATTATTCCTAATGTATTTATGCTTCAGCAAACTGAATAAGCTTGATAAAAATTGTAAATAATAGCAATTTCATATTAAAATTTATTCCTGCATTATTCCTAAAAAGCCCGTGGTAAGACAATAAACAACTTAATGGTATCCACACTTATAATTTAAGGCACCCTCGATCAGAAGTGTCAGATAAACGAAGAAACAGTATATAAAGAAATTTACTTTACCTTTGAAAAAAAAGCATAAAAATTAAAATTCCACAAAATATTAAACAACAGTGAAAATTGTTATGTAAATGTTAAAACATGGAAAAAGGAGGGACCTATGAAGCCTTAGCAATTATTTTTTTGAATTACAGGTACTGGATGCAAAACTATTTCTGATTCATCTTGGGAACAAAATTATAATATTTTGGTGGATAAGCATAAATTTACTATGTGGCTTTACATCAACTATTCTAACATTGGGTTTTCATTTTCCTACAGTGTATTGTCAGTTCAGTGTATCAATATGTGAAGTTGTAATCTTAGCTCTGCAAATTGGAATTCAGCATTTGTAAATTCTTTAAAAGAGAGTTGCTCCTCATTACTCAAGATGGCGTGGTCATCAAACTCAGAACTGTTGATGACAATGGTAGAGGGGAAGGTTTTCTTTTATTTTCTCACATGTTCACGTGCCTACATTCTATTTTGATCTTCCTATTAAAACTTTTAGTGTTCTTAACTTTTATATTCAGTCTGTTTTATAATCTGGAATCCTCTACTTTTTTAAGGGACTTTTGTTGCTGGGTGAAAATTGTATTTCACTCTCTGCCCCTAAGTTCTAACTTAACACATTTTGTGAGCTTTGGGGACAATGATAGAGATTAAGCTGCTACTTTGTTTGGCCTGTGAACAGGATAAATGAAAATTATTAGGATTACTGAGCAAGGAAGGTGAGCGATAGGATTTTGGGGTACCCATTAGCCTAAAGAAGATTTTTTTTTGTTCCTTTCTGCAGAAATAGCTATACATTCTCTAAATCTCGCTTTTTGACCCCCCGACTGCTTTGCCTGGGAAACTCGCTTTATTCCTCAAATACAGCTTAAAAAATAGGATTTTGGGGTACCCATTAGCCTAAAGAAGATTTTTTTTTTTGTTCCTTTCTACAAAAATAGCTATACATTCTCTAAATCTCATTTTTTGACCCCCCGACTGCTTTGCCTGGGAAACTCGCTTTATTCCTCAAATACAGCTTAAAAATATTTTCTTTTGTCCAACCCTTTTCTCCCTCTAAAGTTAATGCCCTTTTCTCTGTGTTCTCAGGAAATTTATGAAAAATTCTGTTTTATTCCCAATCCTGTTGCATTGCGATTTTTTATATCTTGTCCCATTTGAATTCAAAGTGGCATTGATACCTGACACTTGGCTTTTTGAAATTCATCTTCTTCCTGGTCTTCTGTTTCAATAAACCTTTCCTGCTTTATGTCCTACCTTCTCTGGTTCCTCAGCCTCCTGGGCAGGGTTGGTGGACTCTATCTGTCTGGTAAATATTTGGTTTCTTCAAGACTAACTATTATACTCCTCCTAGAGCTTCTATCCACACTCAGTTTCAGTTACTATTTATGTGTCTTCCAGATGTATATTCCCATCTCTTTCTTGAGTTTCAGTACCAATGTTCGGCTGCTCACTTGCTATCAACACTTGGGTATCTCAAAAGCAACTCAAAATTTCCAAAATTGCGTTCATGTTGTACTTTTTCCTACCCTGGGCCTTCTGCAGTATTTCCTGTTTCAGGGCATGCCATTATATTTCGTTCAGTTCTGCAAGCCACAGACCGAGAGCTCCTTTCTTTTATTTTCCCTACACCCAAAGCATCACTGAATCCTACGATTTTACTTCTTGAATTTCTTTCAAATCCATCTATTTTTCGAACTTCACTGTTACCACCAATTTTAAAATGACTATCTCTTGTGCGTATCTCTCATATGACTGGTCTGTTGCAATAGTTTGGTTACACTCCTCAATCCACTGTGTATATAACCAGTTAGGAAATGTTCTCTATTTCAAATAAAATCATGCTCTCTGTTTCTCAACTGTCTATGAATTCCCACTGCTTTTAGGAATGGACACCAAAACTTCTAATACATTCTCTGAAGCCTCAGATGGTCTTTTCATTGCATCTCTCGCCAACATCATCTTAAACTGTTCTCCTTTGTTCTTGCCACTTTAGCCACAGTAGCCTTGTTTGAATTCAGTAATAAATTACATTCCCTCTGGAAACATGCTTTGCTTCCTTTTCCCCTCTGCCAGGAAGGTTCCTTCCGACAAATTAATTTTCATTCAGCCTTCAGCTCTCAAATCAAATGTTACTTTCTCGCAATATCATTCCCAGACTCTCAAGGCCAACAGCCATTGTTATACTTTTGCATAGTGACCTGTTTGATAAATATAATATGGATTATATATTTATTTTTGCGATTATTTGATGTTTTAATCTCCTGCCAGACATTAAGCACAATAAGAGCAGAGAATTAAGCACAGTCCATCCCGGGAGATTCTGAGCACCTAACAGAGTGTTTGGTTAGTTTTTGATGGTTAATAAATACTTATTGAATAACCAAATGAATGAATGTTTACCCTTCTAGGTCATAAGCATTGCACGTATATGAGGGCTATGAAATTTCTTTTTAGCATTTGTTGAGGGCCCAGAACAATGATTGGCACATTGTGGTACCATGATCAATATTTGCTAAATGAATGCAAAATCAGTGAGAATGAGGACACGTCAATAGAGTTTGGTCTTAGTGCCAGTAGACAGATATGATTACTGTTTGTCTTACCTTTTCATCTCATAGAACCTAGTCATGCTTTGATGCAGAGGCAATTGAAAAAGGATTCTCAAGGCTGGGATGAGAAAGCAAAGAGCTTAACTAATTCTCCATTGTTGAATCTGGTGGAGAGAATCATGAGTAAGACCAACCCCTGTGATATGAAATAGTTTGGTTGCAGTTGGAACAGACAGAAAAAACTGTATTTTGAAAGAAGCCTTTGCTAAATAATAGAAGACTGGAAACCTAGATCCTTTTCTGCCACCACCTTATTCAGTGATTTTATGCATGCAATGGCCTGGCTAGACCTTAAATTTTTAGTTTGCACATTTGAGATAATAATGTATCTCTGATAAGTTATTAGGATGAAATTAAATATTGTGTGTGTGTGCATGTCAATATGCACACACACATTTGAAGTTTAATAATTTATTACCAAATATAAAATGGGTCAAGGTGAATGAAAGATTTACTGTACACAGGTCCACTAATTAAATTCTTTGGGTCTCAACTTTTTGCTAGTGACAGTGGTTTTGCGGAAAGCTCTCTTAATAGACTAATACGTTAAAGTTGCTCATTATGTGATCCAGGCTATCTTTTAGGGCCTATTTTATTTTCTATATTTGTCTCTGTTAATTTGGGTATGATAAATCTGGTTTAATTGGTGGGTTTTAAAGTTTTGATTCAATTTAAGTCTCCTGGTAAAGCAATCCCTTTTTGATTTTCTGTTTAAGCAGTAGCTAAATCTCTTCATATATTAATACCCTCTTGCAACAATAAAATTCCCAAGAACTAAATTCTTATACAAACAATGTTTCAATCTTACTATATTTCTAAAAATAAAACTGTAGATTATGGGAGATTAAATTTGGAGTTGTTTTACATTCAGTCCTGATCCTTTAAGTTACTTTTGTTGTCAGCAAAAATTATGATTCAAAGGAAAGTTATTTGGTGCTAGAGGGTCTCTGGAATTTAACTCAAATGTATTGTGTTTCTGCTTAAATTTAATCAGAGGATAATGTACCTATATACTTTTAGTTTGCAACTACGTTCTTGTTAGTACATTTACTAAACACCTTGGAATGATTGGGGAGGACTTTTTAGAAAGGAACAAACTACCATTCCACTATTTGTTTTCTATTTGTCTCATGTGTTCTTTGTTCCTTTACCCCCTCCCCACCCGCTTTTCTCCTTTTTTGGCTTCTTTTGAAATAACGTATACTTTTATTGTTCATTTTCCCCTTGCATTCGTATGGTAGTTATATGCTATTTTTTTTTTACGCTTAGTTGCCATCTTTGTCAATGCACAACCTTTACATATTAAAATATAATATAAATTAGTACTATTTCAGTTTATTAAAAATGCAAATATAACACTTTGCTACATTTACTGCTTTGTGCCTTTTATATTTTTGCTGTCATATATATTCATTCTCTGTGTGGTATGTTCACAAAATATATTTATTCTCATACAGTCAGTATCTGTTTATATTTGTGCACTTATTTTCTCTTTACTTTACTCTTCATTCCTTTCCTCATCTTTATTCATTCATCTGAGATTACTTTCCATCAGACAGAAGTATTCGCTTCAGTACTTTTTTAGTAAAAAATCTGCTGGTGATGATTTATTTCTGTGAAATTACATGTATATGCACACACACATATACACATATATAATGTTCATAAGCATAAATGAATATTGATTATAAACATATATTCTATCTAAAGAATTT